ATGTGCTTATGGATCTTTACTAAAAAGAAAGACAGGGAGAGGGGGAGATCATCTTTAGGAAGCATGTCATCAACATCACTGTGATTTTTTTGTACTGTTACCCAAGTTTTTAAAAACCCAATAGGAGAAAAACAATTTATATTAACGAATGACTTTGTAACAAAACACATGTAAGCTATCTATGGAGATAATTTAAAAATTAGTTATACCTGAAATCTGTTCACACATTATTGCCAGACACTGTGATCTGACTAGGTGAGTAATTTAACATATTGCAAGGCAAAGTGTATAGTAAGATTGGAGGAGAGGCCCATTAGCACCTGGTTCTCATAAAGAAATCACTTCTAAGGCTAGTGAAGGATCCCTGCTTCTTTCCCTCCCCTCCAACCTGGTTAGTTATAAGAATCTCTAGTAGAGCTGCAAAATATACCTGTCTGAAGCCCATCCGAGCAGACTGGAGTGGTCAACCTTGGTGGGTCTGGAGGCCATAAACCTTTAACGAAACTATGTTTTAACATTTCCTTTTTTAAAATCTGGAAGTGATTAGAAATTCACATACATCTGGGGGGGGGGGAATAACTTGAAGGAGCCTCTTCACACTAAAGTGAGATTCAGGTCCTTTTTCTAAAAGATAATTTTTACATCTGCAGGCTTCCAACATGTCCAAGTACTGTACTTATTTACTTGGAAAGATGAAAGAAGGATTGGCATGTGTCATGACAACCAATTCCTTCAAGTCACCTGCCAATCTATGGTGACACCTTGAGCATACATCTTTCCAATGACATCTTCACATTTACTAGAAAATCCTATCAAACATATTCTTAGTAGACACATGAAGGGACATGCTTTCCCTGTTGAAGAGATCCATCCATCCATTGCTTCACAATGAAACCTACTGGCCAACCTTGGGCAAGTCACACACACTCTGCCTCAGAGGAGGGCAATTGCAAACCTACTCTGAATAAATCATGCCATGAAGATCCCATGATAGGGTTGTCTTAGGGGCTAAATAAGTCAGAAATGACTTGAAAGCACACATCAACAACAAACAGTCTGTCTGCTTTTTTCCAACTGGAGAAGCAAAGGACACTTTATGTACATAATGAGGCTTGCACATTAACAAAGAGGTCTGCATCTTTTTAAAAAGTTTCAACTAACAGTTGGGGCTCTCCCTAAGTGACTCTTGATAAGAGACTGAAATGTGTGGAAACAAGTTCAACATAGTTTGCCACATCCCTATGGAGATGCCCATGGACAGTCAATGAACCCTAAGTTAGATTTAAGATGACAAAAAGCTAAGTGCCAATGTAATGTGTAAGAACTGGAGTGCCCAGCCAAAATATTCAGCCCATCAAGATATAGAAAAATTGGATAGGTCAGACTGGGAAATCCCATATAGTAAGTTCTCCCCGCTTGCTTTGAGTATAAAAATTGCTTTCTGAACAGCAAATCTGAGAAAAAAAAAGCTTATTAGTAAATCTTCCACTGGTCCAAATTTACGGTGGCCAGCTTTTTCTCTGACGAGTGACAATCTCTGCTCCAATTTATTTGTATCCATGCTTAAGCCTTGCTCTTTGTTCTGGCTACCTCAAGGAGTGTTTGCTTCCAGGGTGTAATCTACAATGAAGAAGACTGCTTATGCCACAATTACAGACTGTTATGCAGGTGAGCACAGTAGCCGTGTCTTGCCTTTGCAGTACCCTTCCTGTGGAAATTAATCCCACCTCTTCTTACTTGTAAAGAAAACACTTTTAAAACTTTTTGTTGTGCAACTTCCAATATTCCTAAACAGATTTTTATTTGGATGTCTACCTTTAGTTTTGCTGCTCTGTTCATTTATGAAAAGAAAGGTGGGTTGAAAGGTACATATTTTAAAAATATCCCAAAAGCTTTCAGAAACAACAGTATGCTCCAAAAAACAAAGTGCAGGATGATTTCTTAATTCACACATCCAGATTACAAAACAACACAGAATACCATGCAAGTATTCCAAAAGGGGTATTTAACTTTTACACAGGCAAAAGAAGGAAAAATGAACTCCAAGGATGGAACTGGAAGGAATTGGCTGTTGCTGGACTCACACTTTCCTTCATCCTAAATCATCAGCCATGCTGCCTGGAGATGTACATTATTTACTAGACAATAAATCAACCTCATGTATAAAATGAGGGCATGTTTTGGGAACATAATCTAAATTATGGATTTTATAAAACCCATGGGTAAGTCGAAGGTTAAACCTAAGGGCATGTATGAAAGGATCTAAAGGATGAAGCAAAGGAAAACAAATGCCAAAGAACTTACAAAATTCAAGCAGGCATAACTGTCTGTGCTCACCCTAAAGGCTGGATGGATGAGAGTGAGGGAGATTAGTGTTTCCAGGACAGATCACACTCTTTTCCTTTCACCGGGGGATGGTTCCTTTTTAACTAAAAGCTAAAGTACAGAAGTACACTGACCTGTGGATAAGACGACTCAGGTTTGTTTGTTTTTTGTTTTTTTGGGGGGGGGTGTCAATTTTTTGACTAAAATTTCTGGACTTACACATGAATATACACAGTAACTTAGGGCCTTTGCAGACTGCCAGAAATAATGCAGCTTGAGGCCACTTTAACTGCCCAGACTCAATGCTAGGGAATCATGGGAACTGTAGTTTATTGTGGCACCAGAGCTCCTTGACAGAGAAGGCTCAATGTCTCAGAAAAAACTACAGTTCCCATGATTCGCTAGCATCGGGCCAGGGCAGTTAAAAGTGGTCTCAAGCTGCATTATTTCTGGCAGTCTGTAAAGGCCCTTAGGTTACCAGCTTAGAAAATCAAACATTTTCAAATGCTGGGGTATTGCATCTGACCTGTGAGAGCATAAAATGTGCATTTGCCGTAAGTAACCATCCCCTACTCACAAATGTACATTCAGTGATCACATCCACTGGACTATACATCTAGATTCATAAACACACTATTGCTTTGCTCTAGTGCTTTCATGTTTAGAATTCAGAAAGGATTCAAAACACATTTGTTATATGGCACAAAAGCTTGCAGTTCAAAAGGGAAGAACTTTAAAAGTTCCATTGGGTGAGCAGTTGTGATTAAGCTTACCTAAAATGCTCAGAAAGGTGTTGGACTGTGGCTTGAACTACTGTATACAGCTACACAGTACATAAAAGCAGCTTTATAGAACAAAAAAGGCAGACCCTACTGTTACATTGACTGCTAGACATTCTACAATATGTTAGTCATTTTGAAATGTTTATTCTTGTGTAATTAGTGATAAAAGCTTCACAAAAAGGAACAATCTTTTCATGAGCATGCTATAATTTAATAGTACTTAAAGGCAATCTTAGAAGTGACATGGTGATGATATCAGAAATATTTATATGTAGCAAATGAGTATTTTCCAGTCTTATGATCATACACAGCTAAGAATCACATAAATAATGAAAGTAGACCATTAGAAAGAGTACGTAGAAATATCTTGTAGCACCTTTGAGACTAACTGAAATAAAGAAATTGGCAGCATGAGCTTTTGTAGACTTCAGTCTACTTCCTCAGATGCATTTGGTGGAGTGTGCTGGTTCAGCATTGTTTGAGCTCAATTGCTATGTTGATTTTCACCCAAACTGCTCAAGGCAACTTATGATAACAGGTCAAACAAAACAACATAGCATTTCAGAGTATCAAGCTAAGACTCCTAATCTCAATGACATATACGGTGGGCGGGGGGAGGGCATCAAGCAGACATACTTTTGCATAATATGAAACATGTCTCTTTAAATACTCACAGAGATAATCAAATGGAATGACCTACAAGCATCATGAATCTATACATAGCCAAATACAAGTATCAACTTAAATGTAGTTGTGTTCTTGTCTATTGAAATATTTTTCCTCCTGTCCTCAAAGAAGTCTGCAGCATGTCACACTTTGAAGGTCTAAATGTTATATGCAGAATAATAATAGCTATCATATTTTGTAGGACTTAAGCAGAGCAGTGGAGGACAGGAGGTATTGGAGATATCTCATCCACAAGGTTGACATGAGCCAGGGCCAACTAAGGGCAGTTAACAAAAATGCACCATTCACTTCAGCTGAGCTGAAGGCAGCAGTGGCGATGGAAGCTCCAGCATAGTGTAATGGTCTGAGTGTTGGACTAGTATACTGGGAGACCAGGATTCAAATCTTGGCTGAGCCATGGAAACCTGTTGGGTGACACTGGGCAAATCACACTCTCTCAGCTTCAGAGGATGGCAATGACAAACCTCTTCTGAAGAAACGTGCCAAGAAAGCCCAAGGATAGGATCACCTTAGAATTGCCAGAAGTCAAAAACGACTTGGAAGCAAACAACAAAGCTCCATGTGGTTAAAATGAAAATTCGGTGAGAGATGACATTCTTAAAGAAAATTTTAAAATTAATATTTAAACTTAATTTTTTTAAAAGTTAAATTTTAAATTGGTTATAAAACCTGAGGCCTCTTCTTTCTCCTTCTACTGAGCCTTACCCTAATCATGCCTTCTTTCAGCATTGTAAAGGAACACAGGCGAATGCCACAGCTTGTTCTGCCAGAAGGCGCATGCCGGGGGAGCAGTGATGTCACTTCTCCTTAGGTTGTCACCCGCCCCCCAAGGATGCCCCTGCTTGTGTATACACTCGTCCCTTCACATTTGCGGCTTTGACTTTTGCAGCTTTGATTATTCATGGATTTTGTTAATATGTTCTCTCTAGGAATATCTAGGTCCTCGAGCACAATTCTATGGTCAACTTTAACCAAAAGTCGCACTGAAGGACCTAGAGATTTCTAGAGAGAACACTCCACTAGGTATCTGTAGCTCCTCCAGCACAATTCTATGGTCAATGGCTGGTATTCTCTCAGGCAAAACACATAGTGTTATTGTTATTTGTGTTTTTCCACATTCATGGGGGTTCTGTGCCCCTAACCCCAGTGAATGTGGAGGAATGAGTGTAGTTGATCAGCTTGTGGTTGCTGTTAATTGAGAGCTCCTGGCTAAGCCAGGATTTGAAGCCTGGTCTCCAGAGTCACAGTCCAAACCTCAAACCACTATGCCACACTGGCTCTATATTCATCTGAATACATTTAGGTAGTACATATGATATTGTCATCTAAAGGTAATTTATTTTTGCTAGTAGTTTCTGTTGCCCCTATACTGTGGAATGACCTGCTGGAGATTTGTCAGCTGAATGCGCTGTCTGATTTTAAAAGAGCATTAAAGAGCAGTCTCTCCCAGCATAGCTTATCCAGATGATTTTTAAACTATGAATTTTAAATGATGATTGTTTTAATATGTGTACATCTTATTTGTCTTTTTAAAATCGATATGTGTTATAACTGATGTTGTTTGTTTTTCAATGGTCGTTGTCCCCTGCCTCGGTCCCTGGGTGAGGCAGGTAATAAATAAATAAATAGTGATAAATATCAGGGGTTGCAGACTATCAGAAATAGTGCAAATTCAGTCCACTTTTAGGGTTAGGGTTAGAGCTAGGGAATCATGGGAATTGTTTTTTTTCTGAGACATTGAGCCTTCTCTGTCAGAGAGCTCTAGTGCCACAATAAACTACAGTTCCCATGATTCCCTAACCCTAACCCTAAAAGTGGACTGAATTTGCACTATTTCTGGCAGTCTGCAACCCCCCTAAGTTTTGTCATAACTATTGCTATTCCATTCAGTGATGTTAGGGGAATTACAATTTATGAATAACATGAGAACAATTATTTTTTTTTTACTTAGGAGGATTCTGTATGGTAAGATATGGGAGGTGGAGGGGATCAATGCCAGGGTGACCAAAGGTCCTCCTTTTCCAGGACTTGTCCTCCATTTCAGTCTTCTGTCCGGGAAGAATGTCCAAAATGTCCTCCATTTTGAGCGTTACTAAGGTCCAAAACACACTGCAGAAACAAATCCAGTTTGCGACCACTTTAACTGCCCTGGCGCAATGCTGGGGAATTCTGGGAACTCTAGTTTCTTAAGACCTTCAACCTTCTCTGTCAGAAAGCTCTGGTGCCACAATAAACTACAGTCCCCAGGATTCTTTAGCACAGGGCAGTTAAAGTGGTTTCATGCTGGATTATTTCTGCAGTATGTTTTGAACCTAAGAAGCATGAACTGTGATGTTTCTATGAGTGTGCTTGAGCTTTGCATTTGGTCACGCTCTCCATTTTGTGGTGCCTTGTCCTCCTTTGTGGTGAGGGCTCCCCTCCCCCTCGTGACCAGACGCCCTCCTTTTCCAGGGCATGTCCTCCATTTCAGCAGTCGAATCCAGGAGAGGATTCCAAAATGTCCTCCATTTTGAGCCTGACGTAGAAGCATGCATTTCTACGAGTGTCTGCCAGCTTTAACTTGGCCATGTCCTACATTTTTCTTGGAAGCCCTACATTTCTTTGTCCTCCGCCTTGTTGTGGTGAGAAGATCTAGTCCAGGGGTAGGCAACCTTTCCCCTTTAAGGGCCGAGGGACTTCAGCTCCCAGAAGCCTCAGCCATGTTGGCCAATAGTCCCATGTTGGCCAATAGCTCCTGGAATTCTGGGAGTTGAAGTCCCTCGGCCCTTAAAGGAGAAAGGTTGCCTACCCCTGATCTAGTCAATGGGTGTGTGTGGGGTGTGTGTGTGTGACACCATAAGTTACCACACCAGGCGACACCAACAACCCCAACTACACACAAGCAGCCTCCATGCAGTGAGGAAAACCGAGGCCTCCTTCGCTTCTCCTCCGGCATTTTCCCTTCCTTTCTCCACAGCTGAGGGAAGAACCTTCCTCCTCCATCCACCGCCCAGCAGCCCTTTTAACGCCGCCTCATTACCTGCCTTGGAAGAGAGGAGGCTTGAGCCGCCCTGCCTCCCTTGGGATCCTGGCCGGAGACTCTGGCCGCCTTCCTCACTCTTCATGCCCCCCTCTTTCTTTCTCTCTCGCCGGGGCGCTCCCGGTTAAGCATCCCTTCCGCCATGTCGCCTCCTCCTCCTCTTTCGGCGGCACCTCAGCCGCCCCGCTCCTTCCCTCCTTCTTGTGCAACCTGAACACAGAGACTGCCTCTCAGACAGCGCAGGCGCCGGCCTTGTCACCACTAAGCATTCTGGGAACCGGCTTCGGGAGGAACTCCAAATCCCAGCACGCCACGCGGCGGATGTTGAGGAACCTCTGCCTCTCAGGTGGGCAGGAGCGCCATGGGAACTGTAGTCTTCGCGCTCCATGGCCTTCTCCCTCATCGACGGCCCTCCGCTCTTTACTAATTTTTCTCCCTAAATTCGTAGCTTTGTCAGTGGACACACTCATAACTGAGATTTTTGTTGTTGTTGTGCTTTGTTGTTGTTAACTGCCCTCGAGTCGATCTCGACTCATGGCGGCCCTATCAATGAGACATCTCCAAGACCCTCTGTCCTCCACTGTTCTCTGCTTAATTCCTACAACCTCATAAGACCCATGACCTCCTTAATAGTGTCCATCTAGCACAGGGGTAGGCAACCTTTCCCCTTTAAGAGCTGAGGGACTTCAGCTCCCAGAATCCCAGGAGCTATTGGCCAACATGGGACTATTGGCCAACATGGCTGAGGCTTCTGGGAACTGAAGTCCCTCGGCCCTTAAAGGGGAAAGGTTGCCTATCCCTGATCTAGCACGTGGCCTTCCTCTCTTCCTACTTCCCTCCACCTTCCCCAGCATGATTGGCTTTTCCAAAGAGTCCTCTCTTCTCATGATATGTCCGAAGTACGACAGCCTCAGTTTGGTCATCTGCCTTTGCAGACTGCCAGAAATAGTGCACATTAAATTGAGGCACTGGCCTGGCTAAGTGCTAGGGAAATCATGGAAATTGTATTTTTTCTGAGACACTGAGCCTTCTCTGTCAGAGAGCTCTGGTGCCACAATAAATTACAGTTCCCATGATTCCCTAGCACTGAGCCAGGGCAGTGCCTCAATTTAATGTGCACTATTTCTGGCAGTCTGCTTAGGCCCTATGTTGCAGATTTTTGAGCATGATTTTGGTTGTATGTGAGATCAGTGCTATGGTCCTATAGTTGCTGTAGTCTCTGTTGGCCATTGTTTTGTTGTTGTGTACCTTCAAGTAATTTCTGACTTAAGGGACCTTAAGGTGAACCTATCTATCAGAGGTTTTTCTTGGCAGGTTTATTCAGAGGATTTTTTTTGGCCATTGCCATCCTCTGAGGCTGAGAGAGTGTGACTTGCCCAAGGTCATTCAGTGCGTTTACATGGCTGAGTTGGGATTAGAACCCTGGTCTCCAGAGTCCTGGGTCCAACCATGCTGCAGAAATAAACCAGTTGGAGACCTCTTTAACTGCCTAACCCTAACTACAAAGGAGGACAAGGCAGATTCAAAATGTAGAACATTTAAGAGGGGGGAAAATGGAGGACATAACCAAACAAAAGCTACAAACACTGATATAAATATAGAAATTCATGGTTCTTGGCCATACTAAATAAAAATATAAATAAAAATTATTATTATTATTATTATACTCAAAATGAAAGGCCTTCTGGACATTCTTCCTGGACAGAAGGCAGAAATGGAGGACACGTCCTGGAAAAGGAGGACGTCTGATCAACCTGGTCTAACAGTGTTTTGTGTGTGGGCTACCTAGCCATGAAGAGAAGCAATAAAAATAATAATTCTGTAGGATCAGGGTGACCACAACAATGTGTTTTGGACCCTGTTCATCCTGTGTGGAATAAACCAAAAAAATGTTATGTATAGTTGTCCAAATAACAACAACAACAACAATTCTGTGGCACCAGATTGTTGTTGTTCTTCTTCTTATTATGTGGCACCAGGATTGTTCTCTATTATTGTTATTGTTATTATTATTATTATGTGGCACTAGGGTGATGGTTCTTGTTCTTGTTTATTATTATTCTGTGGCATCAGGGTTGTTTTTTTTAATTATTATTATTATTATTATTATTATTATTATTATTATTATTATTATTATTATTATTCTGTGGCACCGGGGTTGTCGTTCTTCATTATTATTATAATTAATTATTATTCTGTGGCACCGGGGTTGTTGTTGTTGTTATTCTTCTTCTGTGGCACCAGGGTGGTTGTTCTTGTTCTTATTATTATTATTCTGTGGCACTAGGGTTGTTCTTCTTCTTTTTCTTCTTCTCGTTTACCCTCATAGTTTAGGCAGCCCACACGCAAAGCATGCTGGGGCTCGTAGTCTTCGGGAGTGTCCCTCGCGGGAGTTTTGACTCGCTCGCTTTTAAGACTATCCGGGTCCTTTTGAGGCCGAGCGAGGCGTGTTTGATGGCGTCGCCTAGCAGCGGCCATCTCTCCTCCTCTCTGTTAACGACTACGGAAACAAGTGAGCCCTGAAGGGGGGCGGGCAGGCGGGCGAGGGAAAGGCGGGAGGCCTTTGTGGACCGTGATACACTATTGAACCAAAGGTGGCTGTTGTGCAGCTGCGGCGGCGTGTGGACGCGGGTGACCCGAGAGCGGGATGGAACCGACTCGTTTCGGCCGTTTTCGCCACGAAGGGAGGCGTCGCTGCGGCGCTTAAGGCTCTCTCTCTCTGGAGTCAACCTGTTGACGGTTGAGGAAGCCGCTTTTAGAGGAGAATTGTCTCGCAGGCTAACCGTCGAGGTAACGACAACAACAGCAACAACAGCAGAAGAAGTAGTATATGACAGGTTAATAATAATAATAATAATAATAATAATAATAATAATAATAATAATAATAATAATAATAATAATAAAATTTATTTATATCCCGCCCTTTGGAAACCCAATCAGGGCGGCTCACAACCATAAAAACAATACAATAACCAAACCCGACCCTCCCCCCCTTAAAACAGTATTAAATTTACAAGAATTAAGGCTCCCTTATCCGAAATGCTTTGGATCAGAAGTGTTTGGGATTTCGGGTTTTTTCTTCTTCTTTCTTTCAGGTTTTGGATTGTTTGCATAAACATAAACTGCATCATCCGTACTGCAGGAATAATCCAGGTACAGGTTGAGTCTTCTTAATCCGGAATTCTGAAATCCAAAATAAACAAAATTTGTCCACGTCGGTGGCTGAGACAGTGTCACTTTGGCTTTCAGATGGTTCA